TTATCTAATACTTCGCAGTGTTCCTCTGCAAGATAATACTCCACAGTGTTTCTCGACAAGATGTCTCCTGCGGTCTTTCCTGAATGTGGGCCTTTGACTCAGCTGAAGGATGCATATGGACTTCCGGAATCAGTCAGGCTTGGGGGTCGTTTACAAGGTGTAGCAGGAGGGGGGCGCTAGCAACACCATTCCTCAGTCATTCTCTGGGGATGCTGATGCCGCGCTGAGAGGACACGGCCCTGTGATGACACGGGGCTAACGTGGCACTTCCCCTGCCCCCTCCCCCCTGTACATTTATGGGCCGTGCTGGGGGGGTGCTGGGGGGGTGGTGAGGCCTCTCGGCATGCTGTTTGATATATTCAATTTTGACCTCGTCTCCTGACACGGGAATCCTAGCGTTGGTTCCACTCGCTGCTGTGAAGCGCGTGTGTCCAATCACTTCAGCACGGGGGGGTGGAGAAGCCTTCCTCAGGTACCTCTACACAGACGGCTTGTGTTCCGCGGCTGTTGCATCCTCGCCGATTGTTTACTCTCCCCCTAAATGGCTTTTTACTGCCTTTCTGTGGCACAGCTGGCTCCATCATTCCCCATCTTCTGCTTAATGCCGACCAGCGCCCCCACCTCCCCAAGCACTATCTCCCATTTGGGACGGTTTCCCGTTACAGGCCTATGTTACATTCGCTCACTCAGACTCACTAACCATGAGGGAGCCGCCTGCTACCGCCGGCAGTGCGTCCGCTGAGCTGAGAGAAGAAGCCCAAGAGCCGCGTGGCGAGAGAGAGACATCGAGAGACATGGAGATCGCTCGCCGCCACGTCGCCGCTCATCCGAGTCTGGCGGCACATTTGTGGGCGATTGTCACAACAGGGTGACGTAAGAGTCAGGCAGCCTCAGGTGGACGGACGGCCCGCAAGGAGCCGATGAGTGTCAGAAAGGACAACCATGGGTTCCTGCAAGGACGCCGGCTGGAGTGCTTTTCCGTCCCCGAAAGGACGTCAGCCTCTTGATCCAGTATATCCGGAGAGCGAGGGAAGCCCGATGCGCGGTGGCTCTGTGTAGTCGCGCCCAAGGCCCGGCCATGCCTGGATGCGGCAGCGCGAGCAGATGGTAAAGTGCTTGCCGTGCTGTAGTTAGTCACACTCCTGCGTCTCTAATTGAATTACCGCTGACAGCACCCAGCGGGCCATGTGGGGGATCCGCGCTAGCTGCCGGGGCGGGGTGCGAGTGCGGAGGGGGAGGGGTAGGTCATCCCCTGAAATCAATTACCAGTAGCAAGGCGACGAGGGCCCCGGGGCCCGCAGCAGGCGCATCCCGGATTGACAACGGCATCTGCGGCCGCCCCCGGTACCCTGACCCTGGGGCGGCACTTAAAAGTCAGGTGCCGGGACCCGTGTAGAGTAGGCCGGCACTAAATCACCGCAGTGGCCACTCGATACTCGTCAGCCAGGAGCATCATGGGCAGGGGGAGGCCGTCCTGCGCTGAGGGCGGGGCCCTTTGCCCGGAATGAATCACCTGTCATGCACAGGAAGCAAGTCGATTCGACCCGTGTCGGTCCTCCTGCCCGCTCCCCTGTCTGGAGGTCAGGTCTCTTCCCAAAGGCCGGCATCGTTTCCACGACTGCAGGTAGGGTTGGACGATCGCGCAAGTGGCAACCACAACTGCAGGGGATTCGTTTGCACATGAATGGTGGCCAGTCGGGCGGTTGCCAGGATGGCCCAAGCACTGCTCAGTCAATCCACGGTTCACTTTCTGGTCTTGAAATATGACAGGCATGCTTCACCCAGCCATAAATGAAACAGAAGCTGATTGACAAAGGGGTGTCCTGCCGTGTGCTGGTTTCCAGTTACTTGGTATGTGGAAGGTCTGGGGCGTACCTCACCAGCACTGCTCTTCCTAACCACTAACCCTACCTTCCCGACTCTGCTGCAGGCCAGACATGGAAAACGTGTTTTCTGAACAAAACTATCCACCATCCTGCCTGGCCCAATGAGAGCGCCCCCCCCCCCCCCCCCCGGCCAGACATGGAAAACGTGTTTTCTGAACAAAACTATCCACCATCCTGCCTGGCCCAATGAGAGCGCCCCCCCCCCCCCCCCCCCCACACACACACACACACACACACAGTTTGGGGAAAGAGCAATCATCAAGAATTCAGAATACACAAACATTGGATGAGGGGGATCTCCACAGCCGCTTTGTGCTCCTGCTGGGACTTCAGGCCTGGAGAAGAGATCAAGGCTCAGCACAAGTTCCACTGGGATTGAGGGGGGGGGTTGGAGGGGCCAAAGGGGAGCCCCAGCGGTGACAGACAGATAGGGTCAGAATGTGGAAGGCGTTTGCCGGGCCCAGTCGACTCCCTGAGACTTGCTGACAGCTATCTGTGCACTTCACCCCCCTCCCACGCCATCAAGGAAGGGGGGGGGGGGTACCAACAGAGGGGGGAATGGGGAAGCCGGGTTGATGCTTCCAGAAGGAAACAAAACTATTTGGGAAGCAGGGGTTCTGCCGGGTTGCTGGAAGGGCCGGTTTGTGGCATCCAATGGGAGAGAGACTGCGGGACAACTGGGTCACAGAACCACAAAGCTGGCATCCACTGGACAAGGGCTCCATGCTGGGCTGGGCGGGTCTGGCCATTCCAGCCTGTGATGGGCTTAACTGGGCCGGCGGTCCAATTACAGCATGGTGTCTGGGCTATATGGAGAAACAACGTAACGATTATGGACTGCTTTCTTGTCCCCCACCCCCCCTCCTGACCACCCCCATTTTCAATAAGTCAAGAACAGCAGAATACAAACAGAAACCTACATCTATAATGCAGGGCCGCCTGCAGAAGATCATGACTGGGGGGGGGCATCAGGGGTGAGTTATATTTAAGGGGGTGAACAGCGGTGGGTTTGTTGTTTCTGGGACCCTACAGCCAAAACGAGAGAGAATTTAAAAAAAACTTCAGGCCTGGGGGAGCAAGGCTGGGTGTTGTCAAAACAATTTACCACCCCTTCCATAGAAACCCACCATGTCTTTAAATTTAAACATTTATTCAATGAGTCAAAAAAACATTTAACCTAATATAACCTTTATCCAACATTTAAAGACTAAAGGAGTATTTAGATAGAGGATTGGTCTGCTTGGGTCTTCTCCTAGAATCCATCTATTGCTCTCGTTGTCCCTTCAGAGACCTGCCAGACTTTTCCCAGAAGGTTCCATGCCTCCTCCACAAGAGACGGGCACATGTGGAAGTTTTTGGGCGACCTTGGTGTTACTCACCTCCCCAGCTCCGCCTTAATGATTCTGTTTCTTTACCGTTCCTTCACATGCAGAGGTCATTAATTCATCAGCTCGACCATGGATGATGCCCCTGATCTTCTTAAGAAGGCAGAGTCAACAACAGTGCTTAATTTGTGCCGGATCCTGCCAGAACGCTTTCCTCTTTGATTTTACTTTCCCAGTTCCAGCGCTTGTTTGCAAAGATCTGGCAGCTGTCTGGTTTTAAAAAAATAAAAACAATAACATAAAATAAAATAAAAATAATAATAAAATACATATGTATTTAAAGTTACCAACCAATTTTCATGCAATTTCACGTCCAATTACTTTACATTTAAAGTAACACGTGGCGTGTTTTCAGCACCGTGTTTTGTCCGCATTCCAGAACCTCCACCCTTCCCTTCTCCCTTCTCCTTCCGGCACCTTCTGATTTACAAATGAAGCGCCAAGGCTATCATGTTTTGAGACACCAACCTGGCTGCCATTTTGGCTCCATGAGGACCGTTAACCTAGACCTACCTGCAGTCAGTCTTCACATAGACTGCTGCAAGGTCCCAATCTTACATGTAGGATGACATCACAAAAGTGTGAATTGGGTTGGGGGTTCAACCAAAGTGAATCCGTCTTTAATAAATGTTGCCATGGGTCATGTGTCTGCCACTGGGCAGGCTACAAAGGGCATACCGAATCCCGTTTTCCCCGATGGTCACCTGATAGCGACTGTCCCCCCACGTAACTGGGACAGGTGGTCGACACATGCCGAGCAAAACACTCCCCTGACCCCCCTCTGACCACGCATTTGTTCACGACTTTTACGGCAGGCATAGCTGACGCTGAAAAGTCTGCAGATCACCCCTGCTGCGCTCCCTAAGGTCCTCTTCATGCAAACGGTGCAGCTCTGCACCTCTGTGATATACACAGAGAGTTCAGTTCTGTTCTGGGTCTCTTGTTATTAATTGCAGTTGTAGTCACTTGCTACCAAAGGGAAACGAAACACAAATGTTTGGTGTTGCAAAGCTGTCACTAATTAAAAAGCACCCAATGAAACTACTCTCAATGAACTACTTAACTCAGAACAGCACTTTTAGAACTATAATTTGGGTTTCAGTTAATAAGTAATTGAAAATCATGTTTTATTCAAAACTACTGGTTGTGTCTAATGTGATATTTTTTGTAAATAAATGAAGTACTGATTTTTGTGGGGCGGCATGGTGATGCAGTAGTTAGCACTGTTGCCTCACACCTCTGGGACTCGGGTTCGAGTGTCCGCCTGGGTCACATGTGTGCGGAGTTTGCATGTTCTCCCCGTGTCGTCGTGGGGTTTCCTCCAGGTACTCCGGTTTCCCCCCACAGTCCAAAGACATGCTGAGGCTGATTGGCGTTGCTAAATTGCCCTTAGGTGTGCATGTGTGAGTGAATGGTGTGTGAGTGTGCCCTGCGATGGGCTGGCCCCCCATCCAGGGTTGTTCCCTGCCTCGTGCCCGTTGATTCCGGGATAGGCTCCAGACCCCCACGACCCAGTAGGATAAGCGGGTTGGACGATGGATGATTTTTGTTATAAAGCCAATTAATTTGGCAAATTTATACTGAATTAAGCAAGCGCCCCAAAACTTTTTGTAAGCACAGTATATATGCATACCGTACCAATCAAAGGTCTGGACAAAACTGCTAATAATGCATTAGTCTCTGTTTTACCAATGTTATACATCTCAAAGTAAAAGGCTTCGATGCAATGAAGTAATACATGTCAAATACTGCATCAACCAAGAGGTGTTCAACATCTCAAAATTTCCTCAAATGTAGGACTTCTCCGAATAGCTCCCTTTTGCTTTGATGATGGCATTGTAGACTTTCGGCATTCTTTCAACCGGCTTCCAAATGTAGCCACTTCTCAAAACGTCCTGAAAGAGTTTCCACAAGTACCAAGTTGGCTACGTTGCTCTCAACATAAAAAAGTACTTGCATAACCTCAAAGTGGGCTTAGTGTGATTATGTCATTGAAAAACAAATTTCAGTAGGTGTGTCCAGACTTTAGACTAGTAGATAGATAGATGGATGGATGTTTACTGCAGTGATGTATGGCCATATGTACACAAACACTGCTTGCTTCATGTACCTGTTAATTTTTGACAGGTGTCAGAAAATTTCTGTTCTCTTCCTGATGACCATCATGTTCGCTGAAGAATGGCACACTCTGGACAGCTTCCACAAATTCAAAAACACGAAGAAGAAGATGAGGAAGAACAAATGTAAAGAGCACATGCCTGGTCAGGGGAAGTCCTGGCTCTTTTCTGGGGGAGGCGAGAGCCCCCCCTTACCAAGCTGTTAGAAGAAGCCGTTCTTTTCACATTAAACACCAGGCGTAATTCAATTTCACCAGCAGCTGGTTTTAGTTTAAGCTGAACAACACCGTTCAGTCACATCCCATAAGCTGACCTGATAAGTAACCTCTTCTTTATTGAGTTTGCAGAGAAAATATGAGCCAATGTAAACCTTGCATGAGCGGCCTAATCGGACCCGGACCAGAGGAGGACCAGGGATGGTACCACATTAGAAGTGTGGCATGTTGGACATGAAGCCCAGTATTCTACAGCTTAGCCGCAGTAGCACAAACAGGGACCGACAATACTGTGGTTTGTGGAAAAAACAGCCCAATATTAACTACGATTGGGCTTTTTCTCAATGAACTTCCTAATTGATCAAGGATTCACCTGCGTGCAATTTACCACATTTTGTTTTACTTTAGGCCTGGATAAACAGCAAAAGACTCATTATGTCACTCAGTACACTCAGAAAAAAGGGTAAAAAGTACCTTTGCCGGTCACTGGGGCTGTACTCTCAAGGGTCTGCCAATTGTACCATTAGCTGCAGGTAATTGTACTTGTTAAGGTACAGAAATGGAATCTGAGGAACATTTCTGTATCATTAATGGTACATTAATGCTGTTTGTACCTTTGTGATGTTCATCAGAGTCAATTTCTGTACCTTAAAAAGTACAATTACAAGGCTACATCCTCAGTGACAAGCAAAGGTATACAAATTTTGACACTTTTTTTCTGAGAGTGTATAAATCCAACTGCTCCCTAACTTTTTCAATTTTTTACACATTTCATCCCTAAGTTCTAATGAAAGCTTCAAACACAAAACATTTTCAAGCAGACGTGTGTTCCTGAGCAAAGGCAAATACCATTGCAATGGGTCTCATTTATTAAAGGTTTTTGATCAGCAAACTGTTCATGGTTACAATTCTAAATTAATCCAGAGCCTTTCAAAATTTCTGAGTGCACTCTGGTCACCTCTGGTTGCCACAGCTGTATATTAATTCTGCTTTATTCACCACACAGATTATTTTTCCTGAATACACACCCACTCAGATGAGGAAAAAGGCTATAGGTTAAAAATAAAACAAAGCGGGTTTCTAACTCTCTTTCTTTTCTGGTATCTTTGGTATAGACTTTTTTTTCTACGTTATCCTGCAAGTAGAGCGAGAATTTAGCAAACCCAGACATTCAAGTACATACATGTATGCGTGCTCTTAATGTGATGGTAATTTTGCCCTGTCAAATATGTCAAATTTGTGAATAATTTTTCCTTAGGGTCTGCCAGTAACAAGCTATTTATACTTGGTCCTTGTGTGTAATTTAAGTGGGGGCGAATAGTAGCCTGGACTCACCTCAAAAAAGATGTGGGGGGGATCACATGAAAATGTGTTTCTGCTGTATGAAATCAGCAAACTATTTTAACTATGCTATTTTAAACGTTTTTCGTGATTACAGGATGCGTCGATATAATGTTTAAAATAATGATCGCAGTTTTTTTTTAAGTTTTTAACTTGAGCTACATTAATAGCCGCAAGTTGTTCTTTACGTAGCCTACTTTAAGTCTTTTACACCCTTCTGTGTTAAATGTGAATAAGTGCACGGTTCTTCGCTGTTAAGCTTATATATAAATATCTACATTTGACCTTAAGTTTTATTCAATGACTAACTTTGGAAAGATAAGAAAAAGTAGTTAGAAACGGATAACCAAAAGAGGCTACCGTGAAACTTGGTTAACAATATATATAGGCTATGTCCACCACTTTAAACTAAACGATCCGACATACTCGCAGAAATAAAACCGTTTCATCCGCATACTTAAAAGCGGTAACTGTCCCCTAAATCGCCATCCACTGCGTACTTCCACTGTAAACGTCTCAAATTAATTACCGCTTTGGCCCAGACTACAGAGGAGGAAAGACGTAATGAAAGCCAGACTGTCAAATAATCACAGTTTGTAATTCAAGCCTCCTCGGATGACAGGGAAGGTAATGCGTGATTTTGGGGGCAGCCTACGATGATCAAGCGCAAAACGACAGGTGTATCTGATTTAGGACAGCGGAAACGTTTAATTGATTAGACAGGTGCATGCTGTTGACACATGGTTATCAGAACAGAGGCAATTACACCGACATTGAATTTATATAATTCTGACAAATGGGGGCTTTGGGCATGTCGTGTGATTCCGGGGAAACGTCAGATTCAGTAATCGTCAGCCCGCGCGACACGACCCCCGCCCGGCTGATGGCGTCCGCAGACTCGGCCTTTAATGAAAGTCCGCCTGGCCGCGGACAGACGGGAGTTTCTCCCTGGCCTTACCAAGCATCAGCCATTATCCCTTTCCTGCGATTTCCAAAAACTCGCATATGTTACCTCGATGGCATGTCGAAGTTCTCTGGCAGTTCAATTGCAGGACCTTTTCCCTTTCTATTTTTTTTTTTTTTTTTTTGTGGGGGGTGGTTGTCGCCTTTTACTAAACTTCCAAAGGTGTAACAAAGTAAAAATAAACACTCACGCATTTTCCACTATTTTGGAGGGCACCAATTGACCACAATCAGTCTGTTTTATAAATTGATTTTTTTTCCGACTGTTTAGAGAAACATTCCTCCGAAGTCATTTTTTCATAGGTCTATTTTTTTTTTTCTAAAATCCCGTCAAATCGGCCAGTTTCTTCTGAGCTTTAAAGAAGCGGGCCGTTTTAGTGTAATTTAATTTGGACTGGTTATTTTTCCTCTGGAAGTGCATTCGGTGTTTGCGGACATAATGAGCGCGCCGCTCCACGTCCCTTCCTCCTCCTGCGGCTCTTTATTAATACATCATGCGCATGGCTGCCGGACTCGGCTGGCCGCCATTCAGATACCATTTACCTCGGTGATCCCGCGTAGCCTTTTCCCTGCGGTCGTTTTTTTTTAAAAACGTGATCCCTTGTGAACAAATTCTTGTAAATTCAAACAGGCGTCCCCTTGTCACTACTGAGAATTTGCGCGATAACATTTCACTGGCATTTACCTATTTACACCACCTGTATAAACTTGCCTTCAAAATTAAATATATATGTAACTGAGTGGTGGGCGCGGATTCCTCAGCTATATATGATCGTCCTATGTAGAAAATTCAAAGTGCCCCAAATTAAAAACCTATGCTAACGTTTATGTATAGCCTACGTAACAGATTTTTTATATGTCAGCTATTACATCAAAGAAATAACAAAATTCCCCATTGTCTCTAACGTTGACGAATAAATATGTACTTTCTTTACAAAGTAGATTTTGGAACCACTAAAATTGTTGTCTTCGCAAAATAAGGACAAATGCTATATGTTAAATATTACATGAGTATTAGGCTATTTTAGCAATATTAAATTTATAACGATGCCTATGTTGTAGACGTAGACGCAATATTTCCTTTGATTTTACATACTCACTTCGACGTGGTATTAATACCACAAAGACCCATTTCGTTTTCAGAATGTATATACCTTTAGGCTGTAGTATTTAATTTGCAAAGGAACATAGTTAATTAATTGAATTTTCCGAGGTATTCAGATGAATTAAGTGACTGGAAAAGGGCACAGTAACGCACGAATCTACAAATGAGCAAATAGTCAGATTTAATATCGTGCTATTGTACAGTATGCACGTTCTAAAGTAGGCCTAATAAGCTAGTTGGCTTTCATTAAATAGAAGTTATTCTTTATTTTCTCGTGGCGTAAAGTATTCGTATATAACACATATAAATTGATTTTGTAGTTTTCTCCGATGGTGGGATTTTAGGGGAAAAAGGCATATTCATACATATGAACGCAGGCCTGCATCTTAGCAGTAGACTGTAGAACGTTAACGATAGCTGCAGAATGACACTGAAGAATTTTAGTATTAGAAATTGCATTTGTAAAATTTATGCATAAGGCAAACTACACTAGAAGTTCATGCATGCATTCGGCAGTCTATAATGTAGGCCTACATACGGATATGTGTGATTGGACACGTGCAGAAAAGAATCCACCATATTGATGTTTTTCTTTAATTACTCTGATCCGAGAATGACAGCACAATTTAACATGTGGTTTGCCTTGAGCTGAAATCGATGAAATGTTAACATAAATAAAACCAAACTGTTTTTGAAGGCCCTTTCTACGTTTTCCTCTACAGTTACTTGTATAATAAACTCAGATGAGTGTTTTCATGGCAGGAATGTTCAGGATTTGAAATTATAGGTATATATCCCTCAGTCACAGAGCAATCACAGGTTTCTATAAACTAAAATATTTATTAACAATTCTGTCCAATATACATCATATATTTTGTACAATTTGTACAGGAATATACAGTTCTGGAAGCTTTACAATTTCTGCTGCTTATAGGGATACTGCAGTTTAAACTGGTACATTGCAGAGATGTAGAAGTATTAAAGATACTTCTATCCAGGAGAAACCTACCTTTGTGTTCACTAGCTGTAGACAAATCACATTCGCATTTAGAGACGTTCAAAGAATTGTCAGTTGGGTCTGTTTTCTGACACTGCTCTGTGTGCTGCTGATCGCTCTGTGTGCTGCTGACCTCTGTGTGTGCTGCTGACCTCTGTGTGTGCTGCTGATCGCTCTGTGTGCTGCTGACCTCTGTGTGTGCTGCTGACCGCTCTGTGTGCTGCTGATCGCTCTGTGTGCTGCTGACCGCTCTGTGTGCTGCTGATCGCTCTATGTGCTGTTTCACCGCACCTCAGCCCCAGCGCTGCACACATAAATGGAAAGGTTGTGTGTCAGTTTCAGGAGCAGTTCTTGAGCACTTCAGGGACCGGTCAGGTCTAGAAAGATTTCTTTGGCAGGAAGAGAGTGGTGGGGGGCCAGGACGGTCAAAGACAGTGGTTAATGGTGGGGTGACAAAGTGCCCGGGGCAGCAAATTATCGGCGGGCATCAGAGTCAAGCCGTCAGACAGTTTCAGGTGCCGAGCTGCACCTGGGAAGTGGGTTCCTGTGGGGAGGCTGTATCCGTAGAGGCTGTAAGGAGGTGGCAGCTGCTGCTGCAGTGTCTCGTGATGCAGGTACGGCTGGTGGATCACAGAAACCCCGGTGCCTTGGAGACTGTGCAGCGTAGGCTGGCAGGAGGGTCCAGCGGGTAACCTTCGGAGGCACTGGGCCCTGCAGCTGGACTCCTTCTTCCGGTGCAGGGCAGACAGGAGCTGAAAGTCTGCCACGGGCCGGCACTCGGAGAGATCCCGCAACTTCTCAGGCCCCGGAAGGCCATAGGGCCTGGCCGCTAGCAGGCCGGCTGACGGGGACGCCTTGTAGCAGAGTGGGAGGGTCAGGCCGGGTAGCGCAGTATCCGAGCAGGGAATGCTGAACGGGAAGGAGGGCGGGGTGCAGGCGGGAGACAGGAGACCCTTCAGGGCGGACTGGGTCCCACAGGAGGACAAATACCCAGAATTCCCTCCTACAGGAAACAGGAAGTAGATACGTATTGGAATCCAGTGTAGCAGACTTGAGTACCAATATCTCTACGTCTAAATTAGTGGTATATCTGGGTGGGTGAGGAATTGCCCTCCTCTATCAAACAGTTTTTTTTATTGGCTCTTACATTCTATTCCTTTTATTATCATTACCTTAAACTGTTAGTGACACTTGTTGATTAATCCGTGGTGCAATTATGTTGGGAAAGGTGCTACATAAGAATAAATTAAGCTGAACTTAACAGAATATTGAATAATATTTTTTAAAGCAATGCATCAGACCGTGTGGTTCCATGGAAAATCCTTTCAGGTCGAAACCAAGAGGATTCCGCCACGGGTAAGAGTCAAGCAGTCCGTCCAACACCCCCCTACAAAGATGAGAGAAAAGGAGGGGTAGCCTACAGTGGATTTTTTTTCCCAAGTCTGGCTTTATTTTCTTCTCTTTTTAAATAGAGGCCTAACCAGTAGCTCCAATAACAAACGAAAATGTGCTGTGTAACCTTGGCCTCCGCGGATGATGTTTACATTGTTGAGGAATAGCTATGGGTGCCTTGCAGTCAACATTACATGACGTGTTTGGCTCCCTGTCTGCATGCTAACTTTACCATCCGTCTGCGTGGCACAATCCCAGCATCTGACACTCATGACCGTTGCTGATACCTGTTTCTCCCTGGGTCCCTGAAGCCTTTGGCAAACGGATTCCTGTCGATCTTCAGCTTGGTGATCTTAGTGAAGAGAGGATTGGGTGTAAATACACATCCTAGACGCTGAGGACTGCACAGCCAGTCCCTTACGGTCCGTAACTCATAACTTCACATGAATCTTATGGCCATGTTAAACGGAACACACTGAAAACAACGGGGATCTTTTTTTATAGTGCCTTTCACTGCCAGCCCTCCTTGAGCCAGCCCAGTTAAAGGCAGTCACTAAGTCCCTCACAATAAAACGATCACTTGCAATAAAAGCAGTCGCTCGTGGATAGCACTGGAAGCTGGCGTTCAGTCTTGGGGGGGGGGCAGGGGGCAAAAGCTGCCAAGGATAATCCTGCCTATGAACCTCCCATTCCCTCTTCCTGAATTCCCAAATGGGGCATAATGGTTCGGGTCTACTGTCGGTGCTATGAGCTGAATACGGTTTTATGATGCGGTCCCAGTCTCGGGCGCTGTGGGATGCGGCGCTGCTCATACTGGTATGGCGAGGGAATGAACCAAACATAGCTGAACCCAGTGGCTTCTGGGATGCGAGACACAGTCCCGCGGCTCATTTCACATAGAAACCACAAAGGGCTTAAATAGATTAAATGAATTCCATTGTCACAATGACCATATATTCCCTCACATATTTATGCACATTATAATTATTTCAAATTTCACTATTTACAGGTATTTTTATATTTTGTCTTTATAACAATTAAATGATACGCAGCAAATGAACATGTGCCCTAAATGCTGTTCCCGTTTATGTCAGGAAAATTTTGTTCATTAGGCATTCCTAAGGTTATCAGAAATTAAAATCGCTGTAAATATAGACAAGTCAATTCTGATTTCGATATAAAGTAAAAAAAAAAAAACGTGCTCCATTTAATAGTTCAGTACCTGCTGATTCTGGTAAGCCGTGACGGTCGTGAACTGGGTTTCAGGGAACGAGAAACTATGCACACCTTCGGCGGGCAGCGACTGGATCTGCGAGAGGTCCACTCTGGGGTCATGCTCGATGACGTGGATCCTCGGCTGGTACTTGTGCATAGACTGCAGAATTATCTGTAATCAAACATTTTAATGTGCTCCGTTCTCAATCACACCCCCTTCAGGTGAAACATAAGATTTTATTTCCCCCCTCTTTTGGGACTACTTCATAGAATATGCATGAAATAATAATAGTAATTAAAAAAAGACTCCACCCACATGTCCCTTATCGTCCAGCTCGTTGTTGGTCAGTTTGACGCGGTCGAAGCTAATGACCTGACGCATCCAGGTCTCTCCGGAGCAGGGCGAGTCGGGGTGCACGTACAGCCGGGGCGCAATGCACGAGTGGTCCGTATTGCCAGCCACCATCCACTGCGAGCTGTGGTACACGTACCTACAGCGGGCATGACGCAAGTTAGAAATATATTATCATTATTGTTATTGACAGGCGGCAAATTATGATGCATCAAATGCAATTTTTTACCACGTAGCCTATGGATGGATACATGGATTTTATTACGGACACAGATGAGTCTGGACCCGAACACGTTTTTCAGTGTACAGACGGGTACTAGTTAGGTATTAATATTACAACTGTTGTTTTATAGTAAAAATATGTATGTACTCTTTTCAAACAACGTTTTAATAATAATAATAATAATATTAATAAGGATTTATCACAGATTATACGATTACAAAAACTTTGGGATTTAAGAACCATGTTAAAATGCCAGCTAGATTTTTAAAATTAGGCCTACGTTTAATTTTTAAACCCCAAAGAGTGATTATTATTATGATTTAGCTTCTTGCAAAGTTAATAAATTATTTAAATTTATTGTGCGCTTTAAATTTTAATTGTGATTCACTGAATAGCATAAAAAGCCATTTTCGCATTTCCTATGTCCACACAAGAAAGTAGAAACCCACTCGTCGAAAGACTGTTTCTCCTCCAAAATTCTCCGATTTCTTTCCTGGACAAGTTGGCAACAAGAGGACGCGTGTGCGCAAGTGTACAATCAAGTTAAACTTTACAGAATTTCTGGGTTTAACATTTCTGTCTCTGTTTTAGCTCCTTGAAATATTCTAAGCACCGTGTGCGTGTTTATGCAAAACATGACCTTTTGCTCGCTGTTCCCATATTTTACCGAGATGAAAGGACGTAAACGTCAGCCCGACTTTTATAGTTGGGCAGGAACGCGCGCGACATATCCAATGTCTCCGTCGGCTTGCACTGAACTTTCTAAACTTCAGACCAGACGTTGACCCGTTTAAGGTAATCTTAAAAATTAAATAATGAGCGTTATATTTAATCAGCGTTAAGCTGTTTATGACTGTGAAACCAGACAGAAATGTTCACTAAATAACCCATATAACTAAACGCTTTAACCTCGGTTGCCCCTAACCATATGAAATACGACTAACAGCTAATATATACTATAATGCAAGAGTATAGGTTTCTTCACACATGGCATTATCAGTTATAATAACTCCATTGCAGTTATACAGGGCCCTGCTTCCGCCAGTATCATTTAACAACATATAAATCGATTTATATTTGAGGTATAAAAGGTTACCTGTATCTTTTTGAGTCGACGGGCGTGATATCCAGTGCGATGTAATATTGCTTGAAGGGATCCAGACTCTTCACTTTTACACGAACGGACGGGAACATTCTCCTGCCCAAGAAACGTATTTATCTTTAAAATTGTTTTTGCTCATCGCGCAAAAGACTTCCTATTTTAATTACTTTAAATGTTATAATGTAGCATAGGTCTATGAAATACTGAAGGGATACCGTGCCTTTATGTTTTCGCTCCAAACGTTTATTTATTTATCTATTTATTTATTTATTTATTTTTTGTTATACCTGTATACCTTCTCCGAATTTTCTCGGGTTAATATTGTTATAGTAACAATCCTCCTTTAGGTAGTGAATCTAATCTCAACATCATTAACAACATTTATCACAAATACCATGAGGCTGTTATACTCGAAAAATCAAATTAGGTGTTCTTATTTGTATCAGCTTAGGATAATCAAAAATAATACAGAACAGTCTAATTTATGGAATAAATTAATTATTAATGATGAAACAAAACGTTACTGTATGTATTCCTGGGTCAGGTTAAGGTGGCTGTAAAAGAATGAGGTTTACAGTACAGCCTGGACGTCCTGGGCTTTTGCAGGACCACCTGCTTCATGCTAGGGGCCAATAAATTTCCCGGAGGTGAGCCTCCGAGCGGTGTCACATATGTAAACTCCCGTTTCGGCCTTTGCTCTGCGGCACCGCGCTGCACTTCCTCGGACATATAAAACACATGACAGATAACCAACTGCGTCGAATCTGCCGAGGCGTTTTTCAGAGTAAACACGGTCTGATATTTATTTTCAAAATGCCACTTTAAACATTCTGTTTAAAGCCGCAGACTTAAATAATAGTTAAATAAGGTTATTTGTAGCTGTATTAATGGTTCATGACGATACGAAACGCACCGAATCATATCTGAACTCATCTTTCCTTTCCTTTCTGTTCCAGTCAGACTCTTAACTGACATGGCCTTTCTTATATATTTAAAAATGAGAGAACTAGTCTGATATTAAGGTCCTACCAAATCACACCTGTTCCACAAAGAAATCAACACCGTCCCCTCATTCTCTTAATTATTTGATTTACGTCTCAAAATCAAACCATTAGGTCTAAATATATAGTTAAGCACCATAACTGTTCTGAGGCCTATAGACCACAGATAGACCTAATAATAATTCATGATCTACTCAGTATCATCATCAATTAAATTTTGCCAGTTCTATTTTTAACTTTTACGAGATGCAAAGTGTCTTTACCGGTTTAACTGTAGGCTATTAATCAAAATTGAAACACCCAAGTCACGTCGCCTAACGTGTCAACTAAAAAAAGCCATGGCAATAGAAAAAACAGAGTATGCGGAGTGTATCCCCGAGGCCAACACGGAACAGGATAAAAATCCAAGAAAACAAGCATAAACCGCGATGTTTTTGCTTCGCGAGTAAGTGTGACTGTCCATCGCTCAAAACTAAGGTAGTTATAAAAATCTGCATATTGTTAATAACAGTGGTTGCAACGTTTACGGAAATCTCCCAAAGCTTTTCTCGCGTAGCTGTTGCGTTACCTCCCGGCCTTCGTGATGATCATCTCTGTGCCGATCTCGTGAAATCTGTTCCACAGGTCGGTCCCCTGGAGCTCCACCGCCACCTCCTTCTCCTGATCACACTCATCTTCAGCGGGTTCCCTCTGGGCCAGGTCACCTTTCCGTCTTCTCTCTGTTTCGTTGTCTTTTAGGGGAAGGTGCGTTAAGTTTTGTCTGCGATTAGATTGCATGTGGCGTCTGGTTCGCGTGTTGAGCGGCCGATTTCATCAGGCTAAAAGTATTTAAATGCATGAAGATGTAGCTTAAAACACATGTTCATTTACGGCGGTTTGCCATCTATTTTGCAAATAGTAATCGTTTTATATAAACATAGAAACTGAGTTTTAAGAGAATTTGTGCTAGATTTATACTAGAATTTTCAGATTTTTGGCAGTCATGTGTATAGCCTATATTATATAAAGTTTCCCTATAATCGAAAAAGTTAACTGCACAGCACTATTACCTTTTGATGCATAACTCCTGAAAACTACCGTCTCCGTCAAAAAGAACCGTCTAATTTAAGTATTATCACAATACTCTGCATTAACGTTATATTATATTACATAATACAATACAATAGTTATATACGGCATACATTTAAACGCCGTACAATATATAGACCACATAAAGTTATGTATTAGTATTTCGCTAAATGCAACTGGACCTAACATACATTAGTCACGCAGTTTTTGTTGCAGTGTATTTTTAAAATCTAGATTAAGGTATTACAGTTAGTGGTGATATATGACTACTTTCTGTGCACTTTGTGCAGGTAATCTGAATGTCTAAAATTGGGGTAGTTGCTTGTATTAGGGGGCGCCTACCTGGCTCCTCTTCCTCGCTGATAACGGTACATGCGGGCATATCCTGCTGCTCCGCGTTCCGGGGAACGTTCTGCGCGTTCTCTTCTTTCCTGTTCTCTAACTTCATCCTCTTGCACGACGCTCTCCCCACTAAGGCTTCCACTGAGAAAGCGTGAGCTCGGGAGCTTAGACCCTGCATTTCTGAGCCGGCAATCACAATCCAAGGTCTTCCTCAGGAGTTGTCCGCGTGTGTTCACACTCTCATCTATAAAGCAGGGTGCTCCCCCCGCCTCCACCGAAGGCTCCCCTTGAATCCGTTTCTTACTCAAGGAATCATTCACTTGACATGCCTCGCCTGTTCCTACAGATTTTTAAATCTCCGGCTCGTTTTCCCTGATGCAATCCAATGGGTGGTTAGTATAGTTGCAGGCTTTCTCCTGACCACCGCCCCCTTATTCATTGTGTGTATATTCTTCTATATTAGTACTTTGGGGGGGGGGGGGGGGGGGACGTGCTGTCCACATGTTAAACTGCAAGGCGCCTACTGGATGACACGAGAGAGAGAGTTTCGGCAATGTAAAATCGTTTTATTTTGTGTGTGATTCAGGTCACAATGATGATGCGAAAGTTAAAAACTGTAATCCAACTACAGTGCTTCTACAACAAGAATTACCAGCGTTGTGTGCCATTAATCATTAATATAATTATGATTACAATAAACTTTGTTCTGTAATAAACAAGATATTACATTTTAAGTGAAATATCTAGCGACTTTTGTAGGTTTTCCTGCAAAGAAGAAAACATGAACATACACAGAAGGCATTTATATGTTTATTGTTTTATATTCAACCATTATGCACTCTTATTGTTAAGATATATTAGGTAAATGCAATTTAAGGTACAACGTACTTCTCTTTAGATTAAATGACATCATAAAATGACAAGCAGACAAGCATGCAGGGTCAGGACTCAAGTAAATAGCCAATTTGCCCTATTTGTCAGTTGCATAATTTGTCAGTTGCATAATTTGTCAGTTGCATAATTTGTCAGTTGCATAATTTGGCCTCTTCAAGATCTTTAATTCGATGTGCGCACTATGATTGCCAATTTATCTTTCAGAAATGCAGCTAGCTGACCATGAAGTTTATTATGACCTAAACAGAGGGACGGTTGATTAATTCAAATACAAGGACATCCTGTGATATATTATATATATATATATATTATGATACAATGTTTAATTATTTCAAAAAGAGTAACAAATAGGGCCTAAGTGTTTAAGATTTCAATTACTTATTTTTCTCACTGTGTTTGCTTTTGTAATGACATCAAAATAATAACCATCGGGCTCTTGTTTAAGTGTAGGTTAATTCAAATCCTTCGATTAATGATGATGGAATTAACATGCGCACAAACTTTTTCTTAGATTAGGTTAAGCGTATAAATATAATTTAAATGCACACATTATTTAAAGTATGAATTTAAAATACTGTAAACTATACACTCTCAGAAAAAAGGCCAAAATTTGTACCTTCCCTTGTCACTGGGGCTTGACTCAAGGGTCTGTCAAATGTACCTTTAGCTGCAGGTAATTGTACATTTTAAGGTGCAAAAATGGACTCTGATGAACATTTCTGTACAATTGATGGTACATAAATGCTTTCATTTGTGACCTTTGTAATGTTCATCAGAGTCAATTTCTGTACCCTAAAAAGTACAATTACAATGGTACAGCCTCAATGACAAGCAAAGGTATACAAATTTTGACATTTTTTTTCTGAGAATGTTAACGCTATAGCCTTGTATATCGTTCGCCTTCGTGTATATTGCCGAAGATTCACGTCTTTCGTTGGTGTGAGATCCTGCATTTTTTCGATTATTGGCCTTTTCTTGTAGGAATCCTTTTACGACATTTTTACATTATATATAATACTGTTTTCTGCCGACATCACGTATATAGCGTTATGATATTTAAATCTTGGACTTGTTAGAATATAAAGGAATGGAAAAATCCTAGGACAAATATTTTATTCTAGTTAACCGGGACCATCTGGATCAGAGATTTAAAACATCTTTATGAAACTCGGGCTATCTCCACCGAAGCTAACATTTCCTTTGAGTTTAGGGGTTTTCCCGTAACGCCAAGTTGACATTTTTAATCGCAATTCTTTTCTCTTCCTCTCGGTTTCAGTAGAGTGCCGAGGAGTTCCTGTCTGTTTCTCATAATGCCGTATCATGTGAAGGTTCGAGTATGGTGGAACTGGCCGTAATGACAGGTCTGGATTATTAAATTACTGTCCGACATGAAATGGATCCGTTTTACACAAATAAAGTTTAGCAAGGCTTATTAGAATTGTTTTTAAAAATCACAAAAAATAATTATATAGAACGAAAAACAAATTACAGCTGTGTTTACACGGGACGGTTGGTTTCTTCGGTAATGGAACTTCTTGGGCACCGCCTGACAATACAGAACTATGACCAGCTCAAATCATGTGTTCCTCTTTCATCAAAACTTGTTTAGAAACTTTTACGGTATTTATTCGTTTCCAATTAGTCGCTGGCATTTCCTTAAATATCTATGGCAAAGTGCGCTATAAAGGATTATTTTGTTTACCTTTCTCTTAAGTACTGGCCTTCATAAACAAATGCGGAACGCTAAAGTGGTCTAATGTTTAATGCTGTTTGGAATAACTTGATTATATTTAAATCCAATAGTTAAAAGTTGAAAAAGCTTTTGAAAATCCAAGGAGAAATGTTATATGTTAAATCTTAAGGCAGTAACAGTTAGATTTATACAGCATATGCTGTATCAATAATATTCTATAATATAATCAATAATATTCTATAATAAATATATTAAATTTAAAAAATGTGTTTTTTTTTATCACATATGCCTACTATAACAATTCACAAACTATATATTTATCTTCCAATAGGCAGGCGTACAATTCATATTTTAGTCAGATTATTGGTAATTTGATTGTTGTTAGGCATAGACAGTAAATTTTCATGTTTTGTTCAGTATTAGCAAATGTTTTAACAGTATGGCAGTGAAACCCCTGATGTTAATCACAGTAATCTTGCGAAAAGTTTCCAAAGTGCTGTATTTTTTATTGCTTAAAATTGAACGTAAATCTCGGCTTCTGTGATTCCTGGACGGTTGTGGACACGTGTTTCCTCTTATAATCCCGGTCGCATTACACTGGGTGAAACCGGAGACTCCAATCGAACTGGGAGTGTGGTTCGGTTACCATAGAGGAAGCCTTGATCAGATGTAATTGCTAACAATTCCTGCAATTTCCGAAATTCATCAAAACGCTTCCAAAACCGTGCCCTGATGAGCACGTCTGTCCGCTTACTGGTATCTGGGGGATTTACAGCTGCATTCGTTCTTTAATAAACCTTCTGCTTTGTAAATTGATCCCATCAAGCTCAGACCAAGGAGCATTTAGATTTAAATCCAACAATCTATGCAGCTTTGCACCATTACTTCATTTTTATCTATCTATCTATCTATCTATCTATCTATCTATCTATCTATCTATCTATCTATCTATCTCTCTATCTATCTATCTATCTATCTATCTCATGGGAGTTTGACTTACACAAAAGTGTTCTGAGACCAAAAAGAAAAATTATTGGTTTAGATATAACAAATCAGATTGTAGAGGATCCATCCATCTATCTCTCTGTCTATCTGTCTGTCTCTCTGCCTATTGGTCCCTCTGTCTGTCTGTCTGTCTCTCTGCCTGTTGGTCCCTCTGTCTGTCTGTCTCTCTGCCTGTTGGTCCCTCTGTCTGTCTGTCTCTCTGCCTGTTGGTCCCTCTGTCTGCCTGTCTGCCTGTCTGTCTGTCTCTCTGTCTGTAGTGCAGGGTGTACTATGTGGTAATGTAATGCACAGGGTGATAATGGGGGTCAGGTGGGTAAGATGGGTACCAGCAGGCTACTGGAGATACTAACAGCAGCTTGCTGTTCCAGCTCAGCATCACAGACACATACAGCAGTCTGCATGTACTCACCTGCGGTTGCTGGCCTTTCTCCGCTCTTCAGGCCTCATGGGGCTTCATATGCCGAGTTTAACCCCCACGTGCATATGGGCATACCCCCCCCACACACACCTGACCCCCTACACCCCCCCACACCCCATGATTCACGGGTTGTTCCAGATATTTTTCCAGAGCTGTGCCACACTCTTTCTGATAAAGATGGGCTGGCATTTACAGCCCAGCCCCACTAGGGGGCAGCGGAATCAGGTGAGGGGATTCAGTGGGGACCTGACAGAGATACACAGGGCTCCGGCTAATGAGAGCGTCGTGGGCTATGGACAGGAGGCCCTCAGAATGACAAGAAGCAATTACCCCTTATTATAACCCGGATTATAAATACTATGTTAGCAATGCAAAGGCAAGCTGCCTCTTTCTGTGCGCTGGTGTTAATTGTCCATGCAGTCCAATTGGACGATACGGTTAATTAAATTCAATCCTTTCGATTGGTTGCTCAATATCTTCTGTTACTTTTTCCCCACATCTGCAGCAGTTAATTAACATACAGGTGACGAGCAGGTAAAGCAGAACATGCAAATGCTTCTGTTGACAAATCACAGAATGTTTAACAATCAAATGCAATGGAATTTTGAAGCTGGAACATTGTTTCAGTGTTTAAAAACAGTGTTTCGGTAAGAGGGAACTTCCAGTGGGGGGGTGGGTGACCGTGCGTGCCGGCCAGCGGCGCCCAGTGTGGTGTGTCACGGTGGAGCTACTGCGGCAGAGGACACTCACACGGTTCAGA